GTCCACTGTAACGAAGCCTGAATGCCGGTTCTGAGGCACATGGCAGTACCCTGATAAATCAGGTTATCCAAAGCACTTTCGGACAGACCTCGAGCCGCCGAGGTGACCGGATAACACCTGGCACACTTCGATAGCTTCTTGGTCAAGGCATCAATAGACATCAGGCCGAGATCTGAACTACGGGCGCCAGGAAACTGCGCCCTACCAGTGACGAAGCCCGGTCGGTGCTACTCATGGGTGTTCAAACCATCTATGAGCCAAAGCTCCCGAGACATGTAGGAGTAGCCTGATAAATCAGGATTCCCCAGTACAGTCTCGAAAAGCGCGACTGAGCATGTAGTCAAACATAGCCTATAGCGCTATATAAATACCCATACATATATATATATATATATATATATATATATACATATAAGTGCTCGGTCGGCGGTTCGAGTTTGAACCCGGTCCTGAAACACCTGGGAGTAGCCTGACAATGCAGGGTCCCCCCTGGTGTACACGGGTAGACCTCGGTGCATCGAGGTGATCGGTAGCTCCGCTACACTCGCCAGCCTCTTGGCCAGGGCATCGATAGACATCAGGCCGAGACCTGAGCTAACAGCGCGGGATCTGCTCCATACTGGGGCCGAAGCCCGGTCGGTGCTAGTCCGACCCCAGTCCCGCTGACACATGGGTGTAGCCTGGCAATGCAGGGTTCCCTGGTGTACACCGGCAGACCTCGAGCGCCGAGCTGATCGGCAGCTCAGTAGCTCCGCCACACTCAACAGCCTCCTGGCCTGGCCGTCGATAGACATCAGGCCGAGACCTGAGCTACCGGGCGGCTGAGGATTCTGCGCTGTACCGGGCGAAGCTCTGGTCGGTGCTAGTCCCAAGGTTCAGAGAGTCCGAACCCGGTCAGCGCCACACATGGGTGTAGCCTGGCAATGCAAAGTTCCCCTGGTGTACACGGGCAGACCTCGAGCCGTCGAGCTGATCGGCAGCTCAGTAGCTCCATCACACTCAACAGCCTCCTGGCCTGGCTGTCGATAGACATCAGGCCGAGACCTGAGCTACCGCGCTGAGGATCTCTGCGCTGTACCGGGCCGAAAGCCCAGGTCGGTGCTAGTCCCAACGTTCAGAGAGTCGAACCCGGTCCCGCGACACATGGGTGTAGCCTGGCAATGCAGGGTTCCCTGGTGTACACGGGCAGACCTCGGAGCGCCGAGCTGATCGGCAGCTCAGTAGCTCCATCACACTCAACAGCCTCCTGGCCTGGCTGCCGATAGACATCAGGCCGAGACCTGAGCTACCGGGCGCTGAGGATCTGCGCTGTACCGGGCCGAAGCCCAGGTCGGTGCTAGTCCCAAGGTTCAGAGAGTCCGAACCCCGGTCCCGCGACACATGGGTGTAGCCTGGCAATGCAGGGTTCCCCTGGTGTACACGGGCAGACCTCGAGCGCCGAGCTGATCGGCAGCTCAGTAGCTCCGCCACACTCAACAGCCTCCTGGCCTGGCATCAGGCCGACCAGACATCAGGCCGAGACCTGAGCTACCGGGGCGCTGAGGATCTGCGCCTTGTTCGCACATGGGTGTAGCCTGGCCCAGGTCGGTGCGAGTCCCAAGGTTCAGAGAGTCCAAAACCCTGGGGTCCCGATAGACACATGGGTGTAGCCTGGCAATACCGGGGGCGAAGCCTGGTCGTCCAAAGGTTCTCCCGGTCCAGCGTAATGGGTGTAGCCTGGCAATGCAGGAGTTCTCCTGGAGCGGGTAGACCTCGGAGCGTCGAGCTGATCGGCAGCTCAGTAGCTCCGCCACACTCAACAGCCTCCTGGCCTGGGCATACAATGCAAAGCAGAAAAAGGCTAGCCACACCTGAGTGTACATACTAGTAAGTAAAGTGGAGTGATACAAAACGAACACTATCAAAATTACTCAACAACGACTTACCACAAATTCGCTGAAAAGAGAGAGAATTTAGGCAAGCCTACCATATAATATGCAAACATAATATATGAACTCCCTACTACAAGCTACCAAGAACCATATAATATGCAAACATAACATATGAACTCCCTACTACAAGCTACCAAGAACATGTAGCAAGGAAACCACGATTGCGCGGTCCGCAATATTGCCTGCCACAAGGCTTGAAAACAGAGAACCCACGGCAAAGTTACAACAAAAGATGAATAAGAATATCAACATATGAAGTCCATCTTTACTGCGTGCGAAGAAAGGAACCATACATACAGATTGAGACTCATTTACACTCATCAGATCGGTAGGAGAGCAAACTTGAAAAAGAACACCACCTTGTCTATTCAACAGAACGACAGCATGAAAAGTGAGGTAAGAGGTAGACGGCGCAGAGTTACCTGCTCTTGGCTGTAGGGGGGTCAGGTAAATTAAATATTTACAAAACAAAAAAACTTGTTTTGTCTTGTAAATATTTGATTGAAAAAATATAGTTACAACTGTCGTGAAGATTTCAAATGGACATATCAATGCTTATATGTATCCCAAGGAGGACCTCTTCTGAAAAAGAATGACGCCTTTATTTTAGCTTGAGTCGGAGTCAACTGTGTTGTAGCCGATCTCTTCTTAGCCCCCGTAATAGCAGACTGCCCCTGCAACGTACTCAACATAGCACCAGTATTATGAATTTCAGCAGTAGCAAGCAACATACGGTTTGCAGGCTGATCTCCTGTTTTATCAGCCAGCGACTTGAGATGACTTCCTCACCCAATCCATGGCACATCTATAGATATATGACAAATATTGATTAAATTGTAGATTTGATAAATCAACACAATAAGTACAGTGCAAGCTGGAAGAACATGGTTTTATGCGAGGGGCATTGGGGGTGAGGATCAGCCACGGATAACCTGTGCCTGCAAACACTGCAAGATTTCATGAAATGTAAACAAAGTTACATAATGATGAAATTATGACACAAATACAAATAATTTTACAATTTTTTACATATAATACAAAGTAGTTATTGCCAAATCCATATACAGCGTAATTTTGAAGAATAGGACCTAAATAGAAAAGGATATAATGCCGTATATGGGACTCCAGTGCTCGCCAAACCATCCACTTGGGCGAAAGGGGGAGAGAGTGACAAGTAAGGTTGGTCACATGACTGTTTGCGCGGGAAAAGGGCAAAAGGGAGGTAACTCGTGGGTGAGTGTATCTTTACGTCCGCTTCGGGAACTTCAAGGGTTTCAAGTGTTTCCACTACCATTCGAAAAAGAAAAAGGAGATAAGCAAAAGATCATGAGTCAGGATTAGAAAAAATAAGTAATATCTTTTTAACCCTTTTTAACAGATGCAAGTTCCTTTAAAACCAAATTTTCACTACGGGCAACAGGACCACTTGGTTAAACAAATTCCATTATTTTTAGAAAGCTCTTCACAGAACTCAACACCCCATAATATTCCAAAAAATTAACATTCACATTACAACATTCTTTAAACTCTTTAAAGGACATAAAAGTATTACCATTGTTAAGAATATATTGGAGTTATGCCTTTATCACTCATGCTTTTGTTGAAGAAAGTCTGTTTACCCATAACAATATTAGAGTTAAAGAAAATGCTCTCAGCAAGAAAATTTTCAAATGTATTTGGCCTAGGATTATAATAATAATATGTGTATTTATAATGCCCTGAATTCCACACATAAAGCATGCTCAAAACGCTACATATTTACAAATATTTACAAAGCAAAGGTTATGCTAGAACGAGGGTAAAATTGTTTCGAAAGTTAAGCTATAGACTGTAATATTTTCTGAAAAGATGGGTTTTCAGGGAACCTTTAAATAAGTCAATGGAGGGAGACATTTTGAGTTCAGTCGGGAGTTGATTCCACAACTGAATCACCATAGCTGAAGGAGCGAAGCCCAAATGCCTGGAGTTTCTGTCTGGGAATGATGAGAAGGTGTTGATCTGCCGATCTTAACATTCTGGAAGGATTGTGCTTGGTGACTAGCTCAACAAGGTAGTCTGGAGCCGTATGATGGTAACACTGGTAGGCAAGACTCACGACCTTGAATTCAACTCTGGCTCTGATTGGTAGCCAGTGCAGAGTCTTAAGAACAGGCGTTATGTGGATTACTCTACAAACTGATACAGGAGAAACTGTAAAGGCAGCTTGGTCTTGTTACTATGGTTACCTTACAGACAAGAAGCAGTGAAAAAATCTCCAACAAATGGTATGATAATCATCATAACTGCACAGTTGGAACAACATGGTACAACTATCGAGCCGTGCTATGGGAGGTACCTGTTTAGTCCTTCACTCACCTTCAATAATGTTCAATAATGTTCAATAATGTTTGCCAGATGCATCATAGTTTTACTAATCATTTCACAGAAAATACTTTGGGCAGTATCTTTGACACAGTTACAAAATTTAATTTCTTTGCATGGGACGAAATCCTGAACTTATATATCTGATGATCTTAAACAAATAGCAATCAGGGATGTTATTCCAGATGAAAATCTCTATTGTATTTAAACCTGAACACCTGTCAGAAGCCTCTTAAAACAAGCACAGGATGTTGTGAACCAAATCTATGTCAGAATTTGGATGATGATTGTCCCGAAAACAGTGGATCCAGTGATTTGATAAGCAGAGGCATGATAGTGAGGAGGAGTCATTTGGAGGTGGTTGGAAGCCATAGCGGGGAAATGGATATCAATCATACCACAAAGGACTGGTCAGGTTCAAAATCAAAGTTTATATCATCATCGTCATCATCATCCGAGTCCAGATCACAACTCATGTCACTCTGAAATGTTGCCAGTTTCTGTTCAAACAATTTCACATGGAACATTACAATGTCCTCGAGGGCTTAATATATGAATATGTAGCATTTCTATGGCAGGTACTTTGTATTATGATTAACAATAGTAAACCTTCTGCATGATGAGTGTAAGCTTTACCCACTAATCCACCCTGCCATTCTTCTACCACAGGTGACAGCTGTATGAGGCAAAACAGCACATGGTGCCTACCTTGTTCATGATGGAGTTCTTCTCCTCCTTGTCTATAGGGATGGACGTGCTGTGGACCCAGGTGTCTGTGCACAGATGGTGCAGCCGTACAAACGTTTGCCTGAAAACACACTCAAATACATCAGGGCCAAGACAGGCTTCTGTAGTAGAGACTATCGTAATGCTGAACATCGGAGTCACCTGATATGTACAACATGATAGTGTACAGTATCACCATGGCGGATCACCATCAGTCGGGAATTACTGTTTTGATGTTGTGTAAATCATCAAATTATAGAAGGAGTGAGTGAGTGACTTAATATTTAACGTCACATCAGCAAATTATAGAAGGAAATGTTTTCTTATTTACATGGGTAGACAGTAGATACAAACTAACAGTGCCTCTTCATGAAGGAACAAGACAATATATCCTCGTTAGGGGTATTCTGATGCTTAGGAAGATCCACTATTTCCTCAATTGTCACATAAACAATTGTAAAACATGTCACTAACATACTACAGACAACTTTATATCAACCACAAGACATCGTCAAGGTTGTTACTATCTCCAACTGATGCAACCCACATTTTATATTTTGAGTGTAAACATTGCTGTCTGAAAACACATAATCCAACGATACTTGGGAAAGACAGAGTGAGTCTAAGAAAGGACAAAACCGTGTTCTGGGCAGAAAGAATTTGTATAAAAGAGCAAGGGTACCTGGGAACGAGAGTGTCTGTTCTGGTCATGGTGGTGGGGTCCAGTTCAAAGATGGATGCGATGTCGTGTCCGTGGGGGACAGATACTAGGCAGTAGACTGCGGAGGTGGGCAGCCCCTGTAGCTTCTGTCGTGTGGTGTCCACTGTCGGGTCGTTATCCACCTGGCAAAAAGTAGCAGCAAAATATCAATTCTCAGATTTCATCTCAGTTACACCTCATGATAAATATAATGATTTGGATTAGACACAGCTTATTTCAGTTATATCTCTGTAAGTCAGACAGTAATTGTTTTGGTAAAAGGAGCTCACTGTTAACAGACCATGGATCTAGTAATCAAACTGTCAGATAATTTTGGCAAAGCCAAGTTATGTAAATTACAGCCTTTGGCATCTTTGGACTGCTGTTGCAGCTCAATAATACAGAATACTTGAGAGACACCAGACCTGCTTGGACACCTATTGATACTGGAGAACCTACTGGTATCTGGAGAACCTACTGGTATCTGGAGAGCTTACTGGTATCTGGAGAACCTACTGGTATCTGGAGAGCTTACTGGTTACTGGTGAGAACTCTACGTGTATCTGGAGAACCTACTGGTATCTGGAGAACCTACTGGTATCTGGAGAACCTACTGGTATCTGGAGAACCTACTGGTATCTGGAGAACCTACTGGTATCTGGAGAACCTACTGGTATCTGGAGAACCTACTGGTATCTGGAGAACCTACTGGTATCTGGAGAACCTACTGGTATCTGGAGAACCTACTGGTACTGGAGAACCTACTGGAGAACCTACTGGTATCTGGAGAACCTGACCTCAGCTGCCAGGTCCACTGTCCGGTTGCCACGGGTTTGACCACCTGAACAAGACTGTTCACAGTGTCCAGCACAACACACGACCACGGGTCATGCTGCACCACCATACAACACAAGGAGCACATTGTTATATCACACAACACACAGACCTGATTGTAAGGCCGCACAGACACACGGTTGTCATACAACAAAGGAAGCAGATTGTCCTACAACACAGGGACTTTCTTTTTAAACTAAAATAGCCATTAAAGCTTATTTTAGTTCCACCAAGGTGTACCCTGCTCATAACATGACTTTTAACTTGCCGTCCACCTACACCTTGATCCTGCCAGGGTAACAACCCTTCCAACTCATTCCTACATATCATCCGCCTCCTCTGTTCCTGTCCTCCATCAGAACCCATGTTCCCAGCAGCCCTACCTCCACTTCCCACAATGCCTTGGAGCTGGTGGCCGCGGTGGCGGACGTCCTCCCTGTCGTCCTCAGGAAGACATACTGCTTCTTCTTGTACTCATCCCCAGTGAGGAACTTCTCCTGCTCGGCGTGGAACAACCTCACCACATCACCCTGGCAACACAACAAATGTCCTGAACTGAAGAGTACACTGATCAAATACAACCATCAATCACCATAAGCACTATCTCCCAACATTGGGAACATGAGAACTTGAGGAGTCTACCTCCATGTCGATGTTCTAAGAGCATATTCATTGGAAATAGGGTGCATGAAATCTAAAGCATGGACAAAAATAATATTAATTAAAAACAATATAGTCAGGTTGTCCTGAGTGAAGATGTTTCACAATATTGCTGACGACTCTCTCACCCCCTTGAGGATGTCGTCCTTGTTCTCCTTGAAGTCCATGAAGAGAGTCACCTTCCAGCAGGTGTTGCAGTTTAAGGAGTTCACCTGCAATAGGTAGACACAGGGTCAGACACTGGGAGATACGGGCTAGCAAGGGCAAATAGGATCAGACAGAAAGATAATCAATGGTTACAGACTGGATACAAACAGAACATTTCTAGCAAATCGCGTTATTGTCACTGACTAAGTATTGACTACACACAGACTGTATGTGTCTGTACATGAAGGACCAGGTATGGACTACACACAGGCTGTATGTGTCTGTATGTCAAGGACCAGGTATGGACTACTCACAGACTGTATGTGTCTGTACATCAAGGACCAGGTATGGACTACACACAGACTGTATGTGTCTGTACATCAAGGACCAGGTATGGACTAGACACAGACTGTATGTGTCTGTACATCAAGGACCAGGTATGGACTACTCACAGACTGTATGTGTCTGTACATCAAGGACCAGGTATGGACTACTCACAGACTGTATGTGTCTGTACATCAAGGACCAGGTATGGACTACACACAGACTGTATGTGTCTGTACATCAAGGACCAGGTATGGACTACACACAGACTGTATGTGTCTGTACATCAAGGACCAGTATGGACTATGGGACCTACTACACACAGACTGTATGGACCAGGTATGTACATCATGTGTCTGTACATCAAGGACCAGGTATGGACTACACACAGACTGTATGTGTCTGTACATCAAGGACCAGGTATGGACTACACACAGACTGTATGTGTCTGTACATCAGGTAGACTACTCACAGACCATGTGTCTGGGACCGGAGGTATGGACTACACACAGACTGTATGGACCATGTATGGACTACACACAGACTGTATGTGTCTGTACATCAAGGACCAGGTATGGACTACACACAGACTGTATGTGTCTGTACATCAAGGACCAGGTATGGACTAGACACAGACTGTATGTGTCTGTACATCAAGGACCAGGTATGGACTACACACAGACTGTATGTGTCTGTACATCAAGGACCAGGTATGGACTAGACACAGACTGTATGTGTCTGTACATCAAGGACCAGGTATGGACTACACACAGACTGTGGACCAGGTATGGACTAGACACAGACTGTATGTGTCTGTACATCAAGGACCATGTATGGGACCAGGTATGGACTACTAGACACAGACTGTATGTGTCTGTATGTCAAGGACCAGGTATGGACTACACACAGACTGTATGTGTCTGTACATCAAGGACCAGGTATGGACTAGACACAGACTGTATGTGTCTGTATGTCAAGGACCAGGTATGGACTAGACACAGACTGTATGTGTCTGTACGTCAAGGACCAGGTATGGGCTAGACACAGACTGTATGTGTCTGTACATCAAGGACCATGTATGGACTACTCACCTCCTTGCATCCTGTGTTGTCCACCAGGTCACAGTTACTGGCGTGCAGTGGGTGGCCGGCGTTGACCGGGTTCAGCACCACCTTGTCACCCACCACCACCTGAAACACCAGCAGCAGCACACGTCACAAAACACACACATCCAATAACTGGCTCACAGAAATTATATGTACAATAACTGGCTCATGGAATATATATGTACAATAACGGATTCATGGAATTTATTGTTAACTTAACAATTCATCCAGACTGATATTGCCGTTTCATTTCAGAATATGAAGGGAGACAACTCTGGTAGACTTGTTTCACATTTTTCATTCTCAGCTTAGCCATGAGACAAGGAAATATACAAAAACACAAAATTCCTCTCTCAACAGGTGAATTAAAGCCTGCTCTACAATCTGAATATTGAGACGCACAGTGGTGTTCTGAAGTCACATCAAACCTACTGCTGTTTTTTATCAACAGACAACTCTCTTCTCTGAACTTAAGTGTAGATCCCTATGATAGTTGCAGTTTATAGTCTCACTGGCTCCTAAAACAGGTTAAACATATCTGCCAGACACTTGTACACCACAAATTAACACACTGAACACAAACAACATTCCCTTGGAAACAAATGATGCTTCAATAGTGAAGCCCAACCATTATCTTCTTGACAACTGACCATTTGTTTTGGACAGAGATGCCTAGATACTGTAAAGACATGAACAAATACTGTACAACTAATTGTATATTGTGAACCTGACACCCAAATACTGTATTCCAAACAAATGATTGTATGTTGCTAAAAGAGACACTCTAGTACTATATTCCCTACAACTGACTACATATTGCCAATAGAGTGGTCAATTCAGTATTCCTGACAACTGATCTGAACAGCAGATGGTTACCCTGTCTCCTGGGGAGCTGTGTTTGTAAAATGGTTGAATGTAGAACCAGGAACCCTCGTTCCCCGGCGTGTCCAGCGTCACACGCATGGCATTCTTCTCCAGCAGGGCCGGGAGCCGTTTGTTGACAGTCAGGTACTTGTTGCTCTTCAGGTGAAGGTACTGCAACACGCAAACACTCTAGGTACAGGTTCATCATTAAAGGAAATAATCATTACATCAAACTCTAGAACCACTGGGAAACATTGACATAGGATAACCTTCATATCAGTGCATGGGCTGTTATTTAACTTAACACCAAACAATACTATTCTGGAACCAATGAGGGCTTACCAAGTGTGGTACCACAGGGTACAATTCAAACTGGTGGACTATGTCACAAGTGAGCAACAACCTACCAGTAATTCCTATTGCTGGAGTATTGCTAAAAGCGGTGTAAAATTAAACTCACTCACTCACTCACTCACTAGACAATAAAGCTATCCACAGTATCTTGTGCTCCTTAGGTAGAGTCAGCTATAGAGGATCAGGAGAGTCAGACTTGGTGATGTGTCTGACTGTCTTTTGTCATGTGGTACAGTCAGCTATAGAGGATCAGGAGAGTCAGACTTGGTGATGTGTCTGACTGTCTTTGTCATGTGGTACAGTCAGCTATAGAGGATCAGGAGAGTCAGACTTGGTGATGTGTCTGACTGTCTTTTGTCATGTGGTAGAGTCAGCTATAGAGGATCAGGAGAGTCAGACTTGGTGATGTGTCTGACTGTCTTTTGTCATGTGGTACAGTCAGCTATAGAGGATCAGGAGAGTCAGACTTGGTGATGTGTCTGACTGTCTTTTGTCATGTGGTACAGTCAGCTATAGAGGATCAGGAGAGTCAGACTTGGTGATGTGTCTGACTGTCTTTTGTCATGTGTAATAGTCAGCTATAGAGGATCAGGAGAGTCAGACTTGGTGATGTGTCTGACTGTCTTTGTCATGTTGTACAGTCAGCTATAGAGGATCAGGAGAGTCAGACTTGGTGATGTGTCTGACTGTCTTTTGTCATGTGTAATAGTCAACTATAGAGGATCAGGAGAGACTGACTTGGTGATGTATCTGACTGTCTTTTGTCACGTTGTAGAGTCAGCTATAGAGGATAGGTCAGAACTGCTTCAAGTACATTCAGTGTAATGAACATCAGGGTAATAAGAGTCAGCCGTAGAGGGATGAGAGGAGAAACAGTGACTTGGTTCACGCTCTAGAATCAGCTATAGATGATCAGGAGAGTCCCGACCTTAATGGCAGCAAGTGCTACTGTCACCATGTCCTGCATATTCCTAAATGCCACCATTGTAACATGGTGAAGTGCAGCAGTGAATATATGAAAAGACCAATATGATCTCAAGGGAGGTGTTACTGTGGAAAATGAATAAATACAACAAATTTAGTGTATTGATTTAGTCATGTCCTGACTGAATTATCTCCGTAGACCAGAAATTATTTGATTGACATCACAAACTCAGTTATTAACACAAAATGAACGAATGATCTCACTAATTTGAATTTATGAATATAAACTTTCATGATTCACAAATAATACTAAGTGAAATACATTCCTATAATTCATTTCTACATTTGTTTGTGATACCAAAAATTCAAATATTTGACATAATTTTGTTATAGCAATAATTAATATACAAATAGCATTAATCCACCTTTTTACATCAATATATGCATTATTGATAAAATTATAAATGACCAAATCAGGAACAGACAGTAAAGTAATTCCCAGTCCCCCATCCCCTAAGGCACTGAATACACCAGTGACGAACGACAACATAAGCACAGAGCTGGCAGAAAGTTCTTCCCGCCAAACAGACATTAAAAAAACCCAACTAGCTTGCTTTCACCTTTTCTTTAAAAAGTTACGTCGAGTTAATCTAATTGTGTAAACTCTTCTTGTGTTATTCATGAGTCAGAGTGAAGTCTAGCAAAATGCGGGGGATGCAGCCAGAGCAAGTCCAGACTCTGTATCTTCTACACATTGTCCACCAAGCACAGTTTGTGTACACATAACGTTATCAACAGTTCTACTACATGCAACTGCCAAGACAAGGCTTGTGTGTCCTCTGTATCAGTGTGAAGGACATGCACAAACCCGGTCCTGGAAACACCAGTGTCTACGCACATCTTGTAGACTGCAGGAAATTAGGTTCTTAAACATGGCCGTGGAAGCAAATTGTTATAGAAATGCATGAATTGATCCCAAATGTATTTCTATTTAGAGTTCTCATTCAAATATATTCAAACATATTTCACAATTCAATGCACAAATATGGAACAAAATATGACAGCCTTTTTCTGTATGTTGGTCTTAGAGTGAATAGTAAAGGTTAAATTCCTCTGGGTTTATTATCACCAACATTTGGCAGCAGATCTCAACTGACAACTGCCTCAGATAATGCAGAGACATTTTTTTCAAATATGTTAGCAATAAGTAATCTTATGACAGACTCAGCTGTAAACCACCAGCCTAATATTCACTGTTAGTACTACCATTACACAGTGGACCAGATGATCCCAGTCTGTACTAACATCAGCACCATTCGGGACACTATCCTGGTGTGAGTCTTTCACTCAAATAATTATTCAACGGATAACAAATCCCTAATGAAGATTAATGTACACTTCAGTTTTTTTCCTGCTGCTGAGTTTACTGTTTCTATGGGGACATGAGTGCAGATGAGAGATTGATTATGTTTAGAAGACACCATCTTGTAGAGATAAAACTGGGCAAGTAGAAATTAATTTGTTCTAATATTTTGCATGGTATCTAATAATTATTCAAGTTCATAACATTAACGTTTTTGTTCCCACTTGGAAATCCTAAACAATGCAAAAAGACTGTTGCTGCATTACAGATTGAGTTGGAATGAGCGAATGTGAGTCAGTGTGAGTGTGTGAGTGGCGGGGTGACACAGAGATTGAGAGTGCAAGTGCAAGTGAGAGTGCACAAGCGTGTGAGTGAATGAGTTTCTGAGTGAGCGTTTGCTTGTTGTTTGAAGTTTCAACAGTGCACTCAGCCAATTCCAGCTATATTTAGAATAATCAAGTCTGGACCAGACAGTCCAGTGATCAACAGCATGAGCAATAATCTACGCAGTTGGGATACGATGACATGTGTCAACCAAGTCAGCCAGTCTGCCCACCCAATCTTCTTGGTCAACTCTTATGACAAGCATGGGTTCCTGAAGACCAATTATAACACGGATCTTCACAGGTTTGTGAATGAGTTAGTGAGACTGTTTTAGAGGCCAGTTGAACAGCAGTCAGTTATGCCACGATGTCAGGAAATGTTGACCAACACAGCTGGTTGTCTTCACCACTAGTGAAACATCTCTGAGTTCTGGTACCCTGGTCTGTGGGTCGACAAAACCGGCAACTAAACTGGGACAGGACAAGTATATTACTTTCCCATATTTGCCTGTGAACAGCCAGAAGTCTGAGAAGGATAATCACAGGACACCAAAGTCGCTGCAAGCACCTGTCCTCATCATCATCTAGACAACTGACAGTAGTCCAGTAGTGTTTCACTTATCGTGGGTCAGAGTGACTCCATGTCCCTTCAGCATGTCCATGGTTCTGTTAACACTCACAGAGGTGGAAACAAATTCTGATTAACCCTCTTCATAACTTGAAAACTTCCACATTTTCATAATCTTACAATATTGTGTTTGAGATAATCGATTTATTCTAGTTTCCAATGCTGAAATCACCCTGGAATATCTCGGCAATAAACTTGCCAACCCATAAAGACCTCATTCAGCCAAAGAAGTACCCACATGTAACAGCTGAAGGAAAATGTTTCTAAATTCAGCTTTAATATCCCTATCTACAAATAGAAGAATGGCACTGATGAGGAACACATGATGAATGATATGTTTCCAAAGGCATCACATCCCAACAATCTGTATGTGATGGCTATGACTTCCCCCCATCTCTCTACAGGAGTAATCAGTCTCCACTGACTGTAGCATGTCTTGCAGCAGGTGCCCTTTACTGAGGCTGGATATTGATCTGCAGGGATCACCTTAATTCCTTCATGTACCAGTACATGCTTTCTCTTTAAACATTTATATTCATGTCTTCAAAGGAAATCATTTCTGCAGCTGATGATATTTTTATGAACTATTCCTATCAGCCCTTTTGTCAGGTTTGAAACTCTCCATGTTGACAATGACTTTCCATATTTGACTGTATGATATGACTTGCGCCATTCTTAATAGTTCAAGCAGTGGAGTAGTTTGGTGGTTGGAGGATTGGTTCATCACAGGTGGATGGCCTTGGTTTGATTCCCCACACATGTACAATGTTTGAAACCCATTTCTGGTGAACCCAGGCACCAAGTATACCACAATCATCAAACTTCCCCATCCTGTATGTCACACCTACCTGTACCCACCTCCCTCCTGTATTTTACCTACCTATTCCACACCCCACCGCCATCCTGTATGTTACCTACCTATACCACCCCCCACCCCCTCTGTATGTCACACCTACCTGTACCACCCCCACCTCCTACCTCATGTATGTCACACCTACCTGTACCCTCCCTCCTCCTGTATGTTACCTACCTATACCACCCACCCCTCCTGTATGTCACACCTACCTGTACCCCCCTCCTGTATGTCACCTACCTATACCACCCCACCCTCCATTCTGTATGTTACCTACCTATACCACACCCTTCTCCTGTATGTCACACCTACCTATACCCCCTCCTGTATGTTACCTACCCTATACCAATACCCCCTACCCATACCACCCTTCTGTATGTGTTACCTACCACCATACCACCCCCTTCCTGTATGTCACACCTACCTGTATACCACCCCACCTCCCTCATGTATGTTACCTACCTACACCACCCCCACCCCCTCCTGTATGTCCACACACACCCTGTACCACCCCCTCCTGTATGTCACACCTACCTATGTACCTGTACACCACCTCCATCCCCATCCTGTATGTCACACCTACCTGTTCACCCCTCCCTGTATGTCACACCTGTACCCACCTCCCTCCTGTATGTCACACCTACCTGTAGCCCCCACCCTGTATGTCACACCTACCTGTACCCTCACCCCCCCCACCTGTATGTTACCTACCTGTACCCATCCCCCACCCTCACCTACACCCTGTACATCAAACCTACTTGTAAGCCACCCCAACCCATCCCTGTGTGTTACATCTACCTGTACCACCCCAACCTTGACTCAACACCCTACCTGTACCACCCCCACCTTGTATGTTACACCTACCTGTACCATCCCCAACCACGACCCCCTCCTGTATGTTACACCTACCTGTACCACCATGCCATACTGAATCTCGGAACCCAGCAGTTTCCGGCTCTCTCCTTCATTCTGCTTCTTTTCCAGTTCCGCTGCATGCTACAATGAGATAAATACACCTATTAAAAAGTTATCAAAGCACTCACCCACTGTTTGTACACAGAGCATGGCCTATTGCAGTGTAAACACACTGTATATACAACATATACTGTGTCTGCTGACTTCATACAAAGCAACTGATCATCACTGATGTTAACTTTAACAGGATGGGATAATACTCGGATACATCCATACAACCATACAATCACGGATCAACAGTTTCTATTACACAATTTGTATGATACACAGTTAAGGCTGCAGCATAACCATTACTCTGAAGCCTGAGACTTGAACAATTATGTTTAGTTTGCCAAGTTTGATAATACTGAGCACAGACAAGATATGTCACCTGGGGGTATTATGTCTTTACAGTGGAAGCCCTCTAAACCGGCAGCCCTCCTATTCCGGCATGCTCTCAATATTGGCACTAGAATTTGGCCCCTACAGAAGCTAGTTCATTTATGATCATTTACACGCCCTCTAATCCGGCGTCAGTCTATTCCGTATTTCGGCACAACAGAGACCACCCTATTAACTGTTTGTACAATAATTAATGCTTTCTAAACCGGCATGGGGTATCGCAGCTCTCCTGTTAATTTACTGATTGGCTGAATGTGTATTAACAACAAAGTGGATTACCATCGGCATTAAGCTCATTGATGTTGCCTGATAAAAGGAATATGGATAAGGATTAGACCTAAGTAGGCCAGGTAAACTGGTGAGTGACACATGCCACTTGAATTATAAATAATTGGTCATGTGAATGAAAACATTAAATTTGACAAAATTAACACACTGATGCATCATCGCTTTTTGACTACCCGCAGTAAAGACGGTTTATGCCCGGACTGTCGACAACAAGAAATAATCCGTCCAAATTACTTGTCGACAGTCCGGGAAAAGGGAGGTGATGTTCTACATGAGTGACTTCACTCCCAGTGTTCTCGAAATTAACAAACCAATTAAAACAGAGTGTGATATATATAGTAGACAATATACTTATTCAGTCAATATAACAACATGCATGTATCATGCATGTATCATATGTCACACAATATAACATATTTGTATATATATTTCATAAAGCTCACGCAATATATTTGTGTGTGTTTTATATAAATAAGTGATTTCTGCAGGTGGATAAGTAATAAAGATATAAAAGATGAGTCCAGTTATTTCTTCTTGTCAAAACTCCTTTATATCTGCACTAAAGTAATCTGAATGTTCAGCCAAGATGAAGCAACTCTGACACATGGTCTGTGTAATTCAAGTCAGTAAGTCTGTCGGCAAGAAGGTCGGCCTTCAAGGATCGAATCCTAGCGTCGATGAATCGGTAGCGACGTCTACGGACGGGATCTCTCTGCTGTCCTTGGATCTGCTGAATTTTTACTTCAGTAGATGACTGTTCTTTTTGTAGCATATATATACCCAAATGCTAAATGTTTACAACAGCATTTCGATAATCCTTCTACTCCTAATATCACAAAATAATTTGTAAGCTCTCTGTTTCTTTCCGGATGTTGTTGCATGTTAAACTCCAAAATGGTAATCCTTCCACTCGCATAACGTAAAATAATAGTCTGTTTTTGCAACCTTAATTCTCTTGCAAATTGTTAAAAAGACATTCTCTTTAATCAACTTAATTCATTTACTCATGATACGAGCATAGCTGTAGCCACCATAGCCACTTTCAAACATTCTCTTTCATTAATTAACGCCGTCACGGTATGTTGACCACGCGATGTCGACACGCCGGGTTTTATGTTTTGTCGACGTTTAGGAACATCCTATTTTTCATTTGTCGACAGATCGGGCTGACACCGTAAAGACATGCCCATTTCTGACCCTATTTTGAAGGAGAAAGCTTTTCAGTTTGCTCCAGAATTAAATGTCATCGAGTTTAAAGCATCAGATGGTTGGATGGCATGTTGAAAGACACAATACGACATCAAGCAGGTCAAAGTGAGCGGCGAAAGAGTGATGCTGACAACTTTAAGTTCCGCCTCCCGACTTTGACTGATGGATATGCTTCTGAAGATGTCTTTAACTGCGATGAGACTGGTTTGTTTTTCCAGACTTTAACGGATGTTATCTTTAGTGATGAATAAAGAATATGATGACAATCAACACGTTGTTCAGTCGTATTTTACGGCACACGGAAAATCATTCTCAGGTTGAAAAGGGAAAAGTTCTCTAAACCGGCATGCCCTCTATACCGGCATTTTGTGCCGGTCCCAATGAATGACGGTTTAGAGGGCATCCACTGTAGTTGGTTAGACAGCCAATCACTCCATCACGCAGTCAGGGAGCTGATTCTGTGTTAAGAGGAATTCTTGTTTGACACAGCACCTCTCTATGCCAGGTCTATCAACTATCCTACATGTTATTCTGAATGTCATATCTTATGTGTCATGGAACGGCTAGCCAAAGAAACTCATTAGAACTACATGCATTAATCTTTACCATAGCAACTGAACATATGGTACTGGGGCCTAATTGGGCATCTAGCACAGTTGGGAATTACTTGGCGCAATGGTGGCATGTTAGATGGGCATATACACCTTCCTGTAATGACTGGCACTACTGGACAGACAGACACCTGTAATGATGACTGGATAGAGCCAGTCTTGGTCCATCACAATGTTTGGACTTTAGACCATAAGTCCACTTGTCCGAGGCTAGTAAACTTCAGGAAGGACAAGCGTCATTTTCCACAGAGTACCACATTTACCTACTAAGCTGGCAACTGTGGGGTCTATTGAAATATAAAAGTGATTTGTGACCCTGGACATAAACTGGACAGAGTGAAGCATGGTGGAGGCACAGCAGGACATCCAGAAATAGTTTCATATATTTTGGAGGAAGTGAGAATTGTTTTGTGCTGCTTTTTAGCAATATTCCAGCAATATCACAGGCAGGGGACACCAAATATGGGCTTCACACATTGTACCCATGTGGGGAATCGAACCTGGGTCTTCATCGTGATGAGCAAACTCTTTAACCAATAGGCTACCCCTAATACATTGTGGAATTGAACACAGGCTATCAGTGTTTAAGAGTGTCCTTGAGGTTTGATGCTCCAGTAGTTCCATCTACTCACTTTGTATATGTGAAGTTTTAACACTGGGTTTGATATTAATGCTTTATTTCAAACAGTGACATTTCATCGATCACGTTTCCATTAAGACTAGATACCACGGGTTCACCAGACTCATCTGTCCAGCCATCAGAATCAATAACATCAACAAATAATAAGTTTAATGGAACTGAACTGCAGTTAGAAACAGATCATTCTGAGGTATTTCTGTGGCACCCAATTTCTGATCTGATCATGATTTCCAGTATTCAAAGAGTCATCTCAAACATGAAAGAATCGAAAACATGAGTTTTGCTTTCGGAGGAATTGAAGCAGATATTTGAATAAGGAGAGACAGGATGGTGGGGCTGATCAGTGTGGGACTGAATCAAGTCATGTTTCTAGACACCAATCCAATAAGGCCAGCCATAACCCAGCAGTTGAGAAACATTCCCTACAAAATGGAACAATATCCTGGCTGGAGATCTGGTGGATATCGAGCTGACTTCCTTTACCAACGATTGATCTTGGGCTTCAAACATGGCAATATAGTTTGATTTTTCCCCAATTACAATCAAATTGCCATTTATGACACCTGTGATGTAGGCAGTTAATACTCAACCAACAGTCCGTTTAAGAAAAAGGACATTCCATTATGGCAAATGTATGTCACATGATATTGTGGTATAGACGCCTACTGGAAGTACTTGATAATGATGTTGACATCAGACAGTCTGACTGACGTAGCAAGGTAACGACACTGAAATATGAGTCAGGGCCCCGTTCCTCAAGGCGATCGTAGCGCTACAACAGTCGTAAGTCTATGGTAAAGTATGGGAGTTACGATCAACTTTGCGCTACGATCGCTTTGAGGAACGGGGCCCTGGACTAGAACATATTAAACAAAAAATGTAAAAGAGAGAGTTCCATCAATAACCACAAAATTTCAATGTACAAGAATTCAACTAGGTGCAATTCATCACTCTTATCACCAACAGCTGAATTGTCCTTGCAAGGTGGAACCATGTTTTGGATTCAATTAACAGTTCTAGAAAACTGTTTCACTTCATGAAGAACCAAGGGACTTGAGCGCGCCAGTGACATTGATTTTGTCTACACTTCATCCAGCTGACACAGAGGACTTCAGCTCCGTTCTTGTAGGTCCATTAGTGCAGCCAGGAGAAGGAGCAGATCTCAGTCATGTTTCATCCCCCCTCCGTTAGTTCATATATCAACTCACCCTCAACTCACAATAGGGTTGACTGCATTCAAATCCACTAAAGGTTCTTCCAGGAAAAACATTCCTGCAGAGATATCAATCAATTTCTTCCTCACCTTCAACCTCAACCATTTTCAATCTAATTTCTTACTGAATACTGAATTTTAGAAATGTAGTAAAGAAGCAAATACTCCATTAAAATTATTAGGCTTTCTATAAACATGCAAATTCTATCCATTAAGACTGTGTTTTATCAGTTGTTCCCTGTTCAGCTCTTGTTGAAGTGGAAACGACTGCATGAAGTTTATACATCCTCCCATGAAGGTGTAGCACCTGACACTGTAGCAACAGGGTGTACAGTGCTCAACACAGAACTCCTATACTTGTACACACCCTTACAGCAGGAGCAACACTATGTCAGGAGCTATACATGTACACACCCTTACAGCAGGAGCAACACTATGTCAGGAGCTATACTTGTACACACCCTTACAGCAGGAGCAACACTATGTCAGGAGCTATACTTGTACAAAGCCCTACAGCAGGAGCAACACTATGTCAGGAGCTATACATGTACACACCCTTACAGCAGGAACAACACTATGTCAGGAGCTATACTTGTACACACCCTTACAGCAGGAGCAACACTATGTCAGGAGCTATACTTGTACAAAGCCCTACAGCAGGAACAACACTATGTCAGGA